AAAAGAAGCTTATTAAGTTTGATTGTTTAAAAAACTAATAAAACAGAGAATTGTATTAAAATATCAGTAAAACTCTGATCAATATTCACAGGAAATAATCTACAACAACAAACAAACAAACAACCGGTCGGACTGAAATGAACTTTTCAAGTGAAGTTTTATACAAGAATTCAAAATAAATTATTAATATCAACCGAAAATGTATTAATAACAATAGAATATTTAAATAATTCAATGGCTCCTTATAAAATAAAGCCCTCTGAATTCAAGTTTACAATTCAAATGTCTGTAGATTTTACAATGAAAAACTGTCAAACAATGACAGTAAAAGACTGTAAACTGTAAATAGGTTAGAAACTGTGATATCTGATGGCAAAACCTTTATTTATACAACATTTTAAAGGAATTTAAGTTGTTTTTTTATATTACAGACTGTAAACTAACACTGATTTCATATCTGTATTTTTACTATTTCAAGCCCCTGAAACAATAATAACAATAATTACAAAGTAAAACAATAAAGTGTCCAGAATGTAAAATATTCTGAGAATATAATTAATTACCAGATAATATTTATTATTATAAGTTAATAACGTGAACATGAAGATGGCGGTTCTGTACTCTCTGTCAGTTTACTACATTAGTGTTTTTGTATTAATTTATTCTTAGATTATTCTGTCCGTCACTTCCTGATGATAATCACAATGATTTATTCATCTGCTGATGAAGATCAAAGCTGCTTCTTTCTTTTCTCTCCCTCTCTCCCTCTCTCTAATTTAAATCTGCTTTATTGGTGTGACCCTCATTAAAGGTCACATCCACTGAATTCACCTCCACAAGACGTCGCAGTAGAGCACCAGACTCCACAGACAAAATCATTTAACCTGGATAATCATAAAACACTTAAACCTGGACAGAAACTCAATAAAATAAAATAAATCAACCATTAATTCACAGAGTTAGATGAGAAAATAGCCACAAAACGTACATATACGTACAGTAAAAGTGTTATCGGTCGCTGTATTTGTTCCACAATGGTTGCAAAGACAATCAGAATAAGATAATATCAGTAATTAATTCAGTGGTTAGAAATCAAGTGTGTATCTTTTAAAATGAGTTGAACAGAATGAGACTCTTTCAGTTAATCTTTAAGACACAAGGTTCAAAACCGAGGACATAAAGAGTGAAAGAGGGAAGTCAACTCCAACTCCCAAGATGCATTTCAGTAACAAACATCCAATCAGAGAGCCACTGATGTGAGACAGTAGCAGCAACGGTTGCTTATGTTAGCTAACCAACAACGAACCCACACGTGTCTCGCTATCTCATTGGTGGAAAGAGGGGTAGTCAGCCGCCCTCCTCTGCCTCTGATTGGCTCGTACCCGTTGGCGTCGTTGGTTTAGGCGTAAGGACTGAGAGCGGTTCGGGTAATCAGTGTGTGGAACTCTTCCTGTTAGATTTGGTGAAGATCTGGTTCAGTTGTGGTCTCACTCTCACTCTGCTCTCTGTTCCCATCAGATACCCGAGTGTGTTTTCTATGGGATGTACGAGAAGATCCTGCTGTTTCGCCATGACCAGACGTCGGAGAACGTGCTGCAGCTGCTGCGCTCGGCCTCCCAGATCCAGGAGGGAGACCTGGTGGAGGCCGTGCTGTCAGGTAAGACCAGCCTGGAGGGTGACGCCATCATCCAGTCTCCAGCAGGCGGGATGAATCGTTCTCTGTGCTGCTCGTTAACTGATCCGTCCGTATAACAACCCTGGTGAAGTGACAGGAGGCGGTAACAGGAGAAAGAGACGATGGGAGAGTTGAAGGGGAGTTTGAGTGAAAAGTCTTCCTCCTTTGAGTCTGAACTCCATCAGATGTGAACACAGACAGGAAACACGTCTTTATCGCCGACGTCCGTCCGGAATAAACGGCCGTACGAATTTAGCTTCTTTTAATGCAGAATATTTAACAAAGTGTGAACAGATATAAGATTAAAAAACAGGGTTAAAAAGAAAGTAGCAGCATTATTATTATTATTATTATTATTATTATTATTCAAATCACCGACCAGAACAATAAAGTTTATTTTACACAGCAATGTTACAAAATGCAAAAATAATAATAATAAAACTGATAAACATAAATCAATAAATTAAAATGAAAAAAGAGATTAAAGTTTTTCTAAAGAAGAAAAATAAAT